AGACGGGAGATATCTGGCTCTTCCACACCTCTCAAGATGCGGGCAACCAAGATGGGGCCATCGTAATGGCCCGCACTTCAAGCGACAATGGCAAGACGTGGTCATCGCCCCACTATCCCCTGAAAGGTGTCACCGGGGCTTTTGTGCGCCAACCTCTCGTCGTTCTCGGGGATGATACTTGGGTCCTTCCAGTTTTCCACTGCAGATCAACACCAGGTCAGAGGTGGATTGGGAACAATGATATCTCTGCGGTGTTCTACTCCAAAGACGAGGGTCAAACATGGATAGAGAATGTGGTGCCTAATAGCATTGGCTCTGTCCATATGAATATCATCGCACCAAAGAGCGAAGGTTCTGAATATGTAGCATTCTTTCGCAGTCGGTGGGCAGACAATGTCTACCGTTCAACATCGCCAGATGGCCTGAACTGGGCTCCTCCCAAGCCGACATCTCTTCCGAATCCCAACAGCGGTATCTGCGCCGCACGGCTAGCATCAGGTAAACTGGCCATCGTATTCAACCGCTCCTCAGCCGAGCCTGACATGGCCAAGCGAGAGGGCCTCTATGACGACATCACACCCGGAGATGACAAGAGACCGAATCAAGCTTCGGTGAATGGCAAAAATGCAATTTGGGGAACCCCGCGTAAAACGCTTACGGTTGCTGTGTCCAGCGACGATGGATTGACATGGAAGGAGAAGGTCCTTGAGGAAGGCGATGGGTTTTGCATGACGAACAATTCCATCGAGAAGACGAATCGGGAGTTGAGCTATCCCAGCATCTTTGTTGAGAAGGAAAGTGTGCATGTTGCTTTTACATTCCATCGCCAGTATATCAAATATGTTAGAATAGGCGATATAGAGGGTTGGGTAGATCAAGCATAGCTTCACATGGCTGAGGCCTAAGGGTGGCTTTGAAAATCACGATCGTTATGCTTCATGATTAATGGCAGCACTTCATGCTTCGTAGAGAATTCGTCTCAACTTTATTCACCTCTAAGAGGACGACCTGGGAAACATGATGGAGTAATACTTCTTGACTTGCAAAACGAAATTAAACATGTGTTACTCGATGCTCGTCACTGTAGCGAACGCGTGCTGAACGATCTTAGTTGAGGTAGTAATCCATTGAACTTAACGAAATCTGATCAATGATCTATTGCTAAAGTGACTATTTGCTCCACGACCTTTGCTTTTCCGTCTCTCCGAGTACACCAAGTGTTTCTAAAGCCCATATCTTAGTTGCGTCACCGAGTGGAAGATACGGCCGCCTCATCTCCCACGATGACTCGTCGGTGAGCCCGATATCGCGACCAAAGAAGTGCCAGGCACCGTATTTTGTCAAGGCAATACCCTTCTTACAGGCCCATTCCGCGTTTGCCACATCATATTGCAGTTTCAGGGACTCATCAGCCTTCCCATCCTTCCACAGGTCGTACACTGCTGACGTTGAACCGGGAAAGATATTTCCCATGCCCGTTACGCAGCCACTTCCTCCAGCCTGTAGTGTTGGAAGAAGGTAGTCGCTGCTGCCACCAAAAACACCAAATTGCTCATGTGTAAACTTGCTGGTCAAGCGAGTCACCTTGCCGACGTTACCGCAGGTCAGCTTCACAGCCACGATGTTGGGATGCGACGCGAGAGCAGTAATCTGGTCGGAGTCGAGATCCACGCCAGACGTGACGCCAGGGAAATTGTAGATGACAATCGGAATAGGAGAGTTATCCGCAACATCTCGGTAAAATCCCAATATCGCGTCACTTGATAGGGCTTTTGCCCAGTAGCTGGGCGGGAGCAAAAGTCCAAAGCTTGCGCCCGCTGCACCGGCATCTTTGGCGTTGAGGACGGCTTCGCGGGTAGATTCTGCAGATATGCCAGCTACAATAGGGTAGTCAGGCTTTCCAAGATCTTTGACAGCCCGCACCGCTGTTTGGAGAATAGCCTTGCGCTCGTCTGCTGTCAGGAGAACGAGTTCGCCGTTGGTCCCGAGGTAGACGAGACCGTGCATACCAGCGCGGACTAAGGCTTGACATTGCTTGTAAAGTGCGTCATGGTCTACGGGTTGCAGAGGATCGCCGGCTTTGTAGATTGTGACAACGGGGGTGTAGACCCCTGGTGGGAGGGGCTTTGACTTGGGTGCGATGGTGCTGGAAGGCATTGTGAAGGTGTTTGCAAGTGAGAGGAGAAGAAAATGATACAACACAAGCTAGATCCAGCAGAAAGATGATACTCGTGATCTTGGGACGTAATTGAATTAGAGGAATGGGATGCGTGCCATTTCACTTTTGGTCGGGAAAGTCAACCACTCCTAATATTCGACTCCAATTCTGAGATGCGGAGATAGTCGCGGAAAGACTTCCTCGGCCAGCTTATGGCGAAGAATCACATCCCACACGGCTTCTGCTCCGATCACGCAACCAGCTTGCTCTTTCCTACCTGCATGGAAAACCTTCATCCAGTGGACCAGTAGTAGCGAACATGTTTGAGGATTCGTAAGAAATCATGTGGTTACGAGCAAGAATCAAATGCTCCCGGCGATGGTCGCTTACCCGCTATCCACATCGGCGAGAATGCCGAAACATGGGGAACGAGCGTGCGGAGCTTACAGGGGTGGCAAAGCACCGGCCGGAATGACGGGGATGTCGCGATCTGTGAGGCGATCCGAGATGCCATTAGGTCTCAGACAAACGCGGTGTAGGGGTTAATAGGGTTTGACGGTGGCTGTGGCAACTTTGGGAATTGGTAAATGGGATCTAAACATCAGGCTACACCATTTTCAACGTCCTTGACCAAACACTCTCTCGCAAAAGAGATCTCAGGCGCCTTGTTACTAGTAGACTTTCGGAATGTGTTTGTAAACCGGCGAGAAGTGAGTTCGAACGCCAGCAATTTTCGAAACACAATGACGACAAAGCCAGAGGAGAGTGAGAGAGCCACGATAAGTGTGACTGATCTCAGCAAGCACAACACCAAGTCGGACTGCTGGATAGCAGTACACTCCAAAGTCTGGGATATCACAGACTTCATCAATGAGCACCCGGGAGGTCCGTCGGGTGAGTCTGGCACAACCTGCTAGTCTAGGTCTTTGGGAAACTGACGAATGAGCACTTGTCAGTTCTTCTAAAATGCGCTGGCTCAAATGCCACAAAGATATTCGATGAAGTCCACGCACCAGATGTCCTGGAGGAGCTACCAGACGAGAAGTTCATCGGCATACTGAAAGATGCCACTCCAGACGTGCCTGCAGCAGCATCGCAACCAGAGGGTGTTAATGGCACATTATCTGCCCCCGCCGAGACTTCGAAGCACTCTCCTGCCGACGAAGACACCATCCCGCCTCTAGAGTCCATTATCGGTGCGCCAGATCTAGAAGTTGTGGCCTCGAAAGCGCTGACGCCAAAGACATGGGCCTTCTACTCATCTGCGGCTACCGATCTGATCACACACCGAAACAATAAGCAACTCACAAGAAGAATTATGATCCGGCCAAGGATTCTAAGAAATGTCTCGCATATTGATATGAAGACGAGCATTCTTGGATTCGAAAGCTCGGCCCCGTTCTTCATCTCGCCTGCCGCGATGGCAAAGCTTGTGCATCCAGATGGCGAGCTGGCTCTCAGTCGCGGTGCAGCAAATGAAGGAATTATTCAATGTGTGAGTATCCAACAGAAAGCAGCGGATAGGTGCTGCAGCTAATCAAGGGCATTAGATTTCGAGCAATGCATCCTACACCCTCAAGTCTATCGTATCCGCCGCGCCGCCGTCACAGCCCTTCTTCTTCCAACTTTACATCAACTCAGAACGTCACAAGACGATCGAGATCCTCCGATCGGCACGTGCACTGGGCATAAAAGCAATTTTCGTGACCGTCGATGCCCCCGTCCCTGGAAAGAGAGAGGCAGACGAGCGTGCAGCTCAAGCAGGAACGATCCGAGCAGCCATTAGCGGCGCTGAAAGTAGCAAGGACAAGAAAGGCAGCGGACTCGGCCGCTTAATGGCGCAATACATCGACAAGTCGATTACATGGGAGGATCTAACCTGGATCAGAGAGGCTAGCGGAGTACCAATCGTCCTCAAGGGTGTTCAAACTGCCGATGATGTCAGGTTAGCGGTTGAGTACGGGGTTGAAGCAGTCTTCCTGAGCAACCATGGTGGTCGATCTCTGGATGGGTAAGTTTTGAATCTCGAGCTATCACTGGAGATGGGCAGACACGCTGACAATGGTTGGACAAAAGATCGCAAGCCTCTATCCTAGTTCTGCTAGAGCTCCGAGAACAGTGTCCCGAAATTTTCGAGAAGCTCGAAGTCTACATCGATGGCGGTTTCGAGCGCGGCTCGGATATCCTCAAAGCAATCGCCCTCGGAGCTACAGCTGTGGGCATCGGGCGACCGTTCTTGTACTCTCTCGTGTATGGTCAAGATGGTGTAGAGCATCTCTCTCAAAGTAAGTCCTCGTTGCTTGTCATCTGATCTATTCGGGTATAAGCTGACCATTGAACGCGCATTAGTCCTGAAAGACGAGTTGGAGACGTCGATGAGACTTTGTGGCATTACCAGCCTCAGTCAAGCTGTCCCCGCGATGGTGAACACTCTAGATATTGATCATTTGGTAGTTTCTGAGGATAGAGCACGGCAAAAAAAGCCTGTGAGAAGGCCAAGATCAAAGCTCTAGGCTGTGAACAGGCCAGCATAGATACCATGGCAATAATACATCAGTCCTCTCATGATCATAACCGTGAGATGCGAATGGTAGCAAGATGTTGAGGAAACTGAGGATTGGGTCGATGTAGTTTGAAATCACTGAGGCAAGTGGAGCAAATCATGACACTTCTTATGTCTTCGAAGCGTATGGCATGATACATTTAGGCACTCAAAGTACTTGTTAGCACTTTGCCAATGACTAAGATAGCCGATAGAGTCGCACACGAGCATCATGCGGATTAGAGTTGGGAAAGTAGTGGTTGATTGCATGATTATTAGGTTGGTCGCTCTATGGGGAGATTATGCCTGAAGAGTCTTCGCAAATGCCTCAACGGCCTCCAAAATCGTACCATCAGGTTCCAGACCCAGGCCATACGCCCTGCTCACATCAAACCGAGCGGCCCATGTCTCTACAATAGCCAAGATGGCGGCATCCTTCTTTTCTTCGATGAGTGCCAATGATTCTTTGCCACCAACCTTCTCTACCGCATCAAGAATTTCCTGCACCGTAACGGTGATACCAGGTAAGTTAACGACTCTCGATTCCCCAAACTTCTCTTTCGGCACATCCTTAACCTTAACAAGGTTCTTCACCACCGTAGCGGGGCTACAGACCCAGACTTCGAGATCACGGCTAACAGGCAACACATTTTTGATGCCCTTCAGAGTCTCACGAACAATACCTGACGCGAAACTCGATGCCGCAGCAGAAGGCGCGCCAGGTCGCACTGTGACTGTAGGAAGTCGCACAATGCGGCCGTCGATGAGCCCACGCCGCGAGAAGTCCTCCACTAGCAACTCGATAATAAGCTTCTCGGTGCCGTACGATGTCCGCGGCTTCGGCACAGTCTCGCTCTCGATAACAGGCTGACGCGGGCCGTAGACTGCACACGAACTAGTAAAGACGACCGTGGTGCCGGGGTAATTATTCCGGAGGTGATCGAGGACGGCTCGGACGGAATCGAGATTGACTTTGAGGCCTAGGTCGAGGTTCGCTTCCGCCCCGCCGGACATGAGGCCGTGCAGGAGGTAGACAGCTGAGAACTGCCTCGAGAGCAGAGAGCTCACTGCTGCCGGGTCGGTGAGGTCGGCTTTCAAGGAGTTGATCTTGTTGCTTTCCCCTGCCACATCGGCGGGGATGGGGGGCTCGATTACATCTGTGATTGTAAGGGTTGCTGAGGGGTCGGATTTGATGAGGGCAGAGACTAGGGCCTGGCCAACGAAGCCTGCGGCGCCAGTTACGAGGATTTCGTTTGACATTTTGGCTCAACTTTTGATATGCAACTCTCCAGAGAAGGTCTTGTGGAAGCAAAGTTCTACCGTCAGGGAATCTTCACGCGTCTCGCCACAAAAGAGACGCGATCGCGTGCCCCTCGGCTTTAACTGATCCGATTTCGCTGTGCCATCATGAGGGGTACAGTTTGCACGCATGGGTACGTTGTCGGAGCTTCTCCTCATACCTCTGTCGCATGCACATTTACCGAACATATCCGATGACTGAGGAACGGATATGCTGCCACACGCGAGGGTCAGACTTCAGCACATGTAGGTCGGACAGCTCGCCGATGCAGGTCGTCTAATCCGGGCATCGGTGAGTATGCCGATCATCCCACCGGTGGATCTCCGTCCGGGAGCTTCCCCGCACTGAGTAAGAGGGGCATCGCGCAGTCGGAGGTGGTGGGGGTGGTAAGGGATCCCGGCGACAGAGCTGAAAGCCGATGAAGTGATGCCGAAGAGTGAGGTGAAATGACGTGATGGTACAAAACAAACCCTCGGGGATCCGTATGAATTGGTTGAGAATTGCTACAGAGCGCCAACTGCCAGCGCAATCAAGCTCAATCAAGCCGAATTGACAGAGCTATCCAAAGACAATTTGGGGTCATTACATGTAATATGGAATACGTGAGGTCAGTACCGCAATGATCCCAAGCACAATCGCTCATAAATTGTCATGAAATTGCCCCCTACTCACTAGAGCCGACTATCATAAGCATTGAAGCTATGTTTGAAAAGCTAATAGTCATTACGTAGACTCGGCAATACAGGCCTGAAGGTCTCCAAAATCATCCTCGGGTGCATGACCTTTGGTTCCTCCAAATGGGAAGGCTCACCATGGGTCCTTGATGAAGAAGAGGGACTCCAGATCTTGAAGGCAGCATATGACAACGGCATCAATACTTGGGACACGGCAGACACATATTCAAACGGAAAGTCTGAGGTGATCATCGGCAAGGCTCTGAAGAAGTTCAACATTCCGCGCCAAAAAGTCGTCATTCTCTCCAAAATCTTCAACCCCGTTCCAGACGATGACTCCAGGCCCGCCAGCGTCAATGATGGTCCGCTCGTGAATCAGATGGGTCTGAGCAGGAAACACGTCTTCCATGCCGTCGACCAGTGTCTTGAACGTCTTGGCACGGATTACATCGGTAAGACTATCACGAGTAGCCCAACGGGAAACGTGCCAGATGCTGATAACCCGTAGATGTTCTTCAGATCCACCGCCTCGACCGCGAAACACCTCCCGAGGAAATCATGCGAGCTCTCCACGACGTCGTCCAGTCCGGCAAAGTCCGCTACATTGGCGCCTCGTCCATGTATACATGGGAGTTTGCCCGCCTGCAGTACATCGCCCGGTCCAACGGCTGGACAGAGTTCGTCTCAATGCAACCATTCTACAACCTTCTCTACCGCGAAGAGGAGCGGGAAATGCTGCCGTTCTGCCGAGCAAGCGGTGTCGGTGTGATCCCATGGTCACCGATTGCTCGCGGACTGCTGGCGAAGCCCCTCGCCAAAGAGAATGATGAAGGAACCTCGCTGCGTAGTCAGACAGATAAGAAGACGCAGGCGTGGTTTGCGGATGCGAACCTGGATATCGTAAACCGGGTCGAGGAGATTGCGAAGAAGAAGGGTGTCAGCATGGCCCTTGTATCAACTGCGTGGGTGCTGCAGCAGGGATGTTGGCCAATCGTTGGCTTGAGTTCCGAGAAGAGGATCAAAGAGACGATAGGGGCGCTCAAGGTAAAGCTGACAGAGGAGGAACTGAAATATCTGGAGAGCGAGTACCGACCCAGGAGTATTCAGGGTATGTAGATAATTACAAACGTACGAATGAGAGGCTTTGGGAACCAAGGGATAGCTACGAAGCCAGTTTTCTTTGGTGATCATGAACCAGGTCTTCCCATCTGATACTCCACGTTTGCGAAATCTTGACCACCAATTGTTGCACCATCCGCGTTTAGCGATGTCATGTCGAACTGGAATACTGGGGACAGACCAAAACTCATGTCATAGTCAAAGAAAAACTCTCCCTCTGGGCCCATGAGAGTTCCATCAGCACTACCACCAGCGAGCTGGGGATCGATGACTTGTGACTGGTCCCCATTGACCGGTTGCGTATTCAATACCTGCGCTGATGTATCTCCACGGCCAGATTTCAACGTCCTAGCCATGCGCTCGAGACCAGGCGCCATGAGATTAGCTAAATGCCACTGACCAGCTGGTAGAGATCGGAAGTGCCGCACGAGGCTCGTGGTCAGGTTCCAGACGCGGTCCGGCTCGATCAAATCTCCGCCATACTTGACTGCCACCTTAATGAGGAACATGCAGGCAAATGCCGTCATGCAGTGCAGGTACGAGGGCATGCCCACTACCCCTGCGGCGACGTCCGGGTCGGTGATGATGAAGTCAATGGTTGATGTCGCTACCGAGATAGCTGTTGCGGCGCAGTCGAGGAAGTGGTGCGGTATCGGGCTGTCTCCAGAGAGGCCCCGGAAGATGTGAGAATAAAGATGGAGTTTGGCGAAGTGGAAGTGTAGGAGAGCCCCTTTGCGAGGGAAGCGGCCTATGTGTTGATATTGTTCTATGATGAATTAGTACAACCATCGTCAGAATACTGAGCAAAGAACTGACGCACCTGATAGCGTTTCAGACCAATATTTGATCCAGTGGTCGAGCTCCTTGTTGAAGTGAGTGATTTGGTGGACGTAGGCTCGTGGCGTCGGTTGACCCTTGTCAGGCCCGAATAGCTCTCGTATGCTACCAATAATGCCCAGGAGGGCAACTTGACTTGCGAGGCGCTTGTCCTCCTCAGTCGATATCGGTGATCGGAGAAAGCTCTCCCATTGTTGCATGGACGAGTCCTCCTGCACAATCGCCGGCCTCCCATACAAGGTGGCAAGATGTTGGTCGCAAATGTTCAATATATACCACAACCGTGCCCCATCGGCAGCCTCCTCGCTCTTCTCTTGTATGGCGCGGGTGTAGCTGTTGTGTAGATTACATTCCGCCGCTCTCCTGATTGCATACCCAGACAACATCCAAGACATGTCAGAGAGCCAGTACGATGCCACGCACATGGCGCGGAGGTAGTCACGGTTCACTCGCCGATCAAACATTGATCTCTCTGTAAGCCTCCTGAACTCCGAGCTGCAGATACCATACAGGCTGTTTGCTTGTGGATCATGCAGCGCGGCAACAGTCAGGGTCGCCGCAGCCAGTATAGGGCTTTTGCGACGCAACTCATCCAGTTGTTGGTACTTGCACCCCACGCCATACATGAAAGCATCGAGACGATCTCGATAGAGACGGAAAAGGCGTTCGGCATCGTCTAGGCGCAGGGCACCTCGGGCAATGAAGTCATCTTGGGCCGGGCTGGAATGGCCCTCCGGGGCGTCTGGCGATCTGAGCGCCCTCAGCTTTGTAAGAGCGTAGAGTGAGTGGATCGGTACGTGGGGGAGGTTTTCGTCTTCTGGGGATATCTTGGGGGAGTTGTCGCACGAGGGACCGTGGTTGTCCTGCCCGGCCACGCCGAAACGGGTTGCGTTGGCAGCCAGCCCGGGGCCAGACCGGCTCTGCTGTGACGGGGACTCAGCTGCTTTCTGAAGCGTTGAACTCTGTAGTGCCGCTGGCTCAGGTAGCCCCATCTTCTTGGTGACTTCTCTCAACGTGTTGTGCAGGTTCTCGATGTCTTGTAAGACTGCTTCGTTGTACCTTTAAATGGTAAGTCGACTCAACGCCTCATCTCTCTTTAGGTCTTCGCTGGGGTCTTACTGTGTTTTCTCGTCGATGATGCTCTGCAGGTTCTTGCCCAAAACACAACCCAGATTTCTTTCGGAACATCGCCGACATGGTGGTCCGCTCTCGTCCATTAGACATTTGATCTTGGAGCTTGGTTAGACTTGAGGCTCTTTCAACCCTTCGATCCAGATGATGATCGCCTTTGCATACCTTGTGCTTTCTACAGGCTGCACAAGCCTTGATCTTTCGGGAAATTTGCGGAAAAGACTGCTCCCCGTTCCCGGCCGTCATCAACTTTACAGGTCTAAAGTATCAGTGTGTAATCTGCAAACCGTAGACAAGAACTGTTTATCCTACCGTCATAAACTCCATGTTGTCATTGGCATCAGACCATGTTCTCTTCGCCATGGTGGAAACCTCGAGCCTCCGGATGAGGCTGGCTGTAGAATCTCGCACTCGAATCTCGCTTGGCTAGTTGGAGTCATCGGCCGTGAGGAGGATGAAAAGAGGAGAAGTTCGGCTCCAAAACACGCAATGGCCCGCGCGAGTCGACCGCGTGGTCGGCACTTGTGTGGAGAAAAGAACAGGGGGCCAACGCCGTCGAGACTCAAGGGGGTGAGATCGAATGGCTTCCCTCCCCCGACAGCTTAGAAAGCAGTTGGAGATGATTGAAGGCTCGGAGTTGACCCCGCTTCCCCGCATAAAGCTGGGATCCGTCTCCCAACGTTGTCCATCTTTGCGAGGTTACATCCAATTCAACCTCATTTATAATTGAGCCTAACGTTTCTCCTTTCGAACTGTGAACAGAACATGGTGAACTGAATTACACTCTCTGTTTAGGTCTCGATCGGTTGTTGATGTGGACAAAGAATCTTTTCTTCTGAGTGCGAAGCTCGTTTTGAACTCAGTGCAGACTACAGCAGCACTTCACCGAACAAGAGAAGTTCTGTCAAAAGAAAGATGACAACGCCAATTCGAAACCATGATGCACTGCAATTTGAAATCGGACAGCCTCAGCCAATGTATTGAGCGCATATATGCTCGTTGGGCTGGAGGCTGATGGCTCTCGTCAATCTTCAAGGAGGCGAACAAGCTTTGGGGGGCTGAAACACTGCGACGATGGATACCCCTATTCTTCTTCGGCTTCTGCAGAAGCGATCCAGAAGCAGGCGTGAAAGAAGCTTTGCCTAGTCGCTCATACATGGACTAATGCTGCCCAATGGCAGCATTTGACCGGTCCATCT